GAGCGGGGGCGGCCCCCCCACCGCCGCAGGCGGGGGCTGATCCAGCCCAGTCGGAGCAGCCCCTGCTTGCGAGGTGCCCAGGTTTGCCACAGGCAGGGTGAGGCTTGCTGGTTAACTGGTTATCCCCTCCCATCCCCACTCTGAACTGCTCCGAGTATTGGGACCGAGAAGGGGAGCGCTGTAGCCCCCTCCCTGCTGCACTGCCCAGGGGGATCTGGAAGGCTACACAGGACGTATGGATGAATCTTCCCAGGCCAGGCGAGGCCAGGAAGCCGGTGCCCTGCCCTGTGGACTCGAGCAAGGAGACAGTCTTGGCATTTCCCGACGGCGGCATGCAGGGCCTGGGCAGGCCGGTTGTCAGGAGCTGCACAGACTGGAGCTCAGAACCGGCTTAAAGGTTCTCCCAGCTCCACAGAACCCCTTTGGCTCCGGCCTGGCTAAGCTGAGGTCAACCTGGCCCAGGGCCTGACGTCCTGCGCTCCTTCCCCCTCCTGCCCAGGCCCCGGCGGGAGGGCTCACCTTGAAGCCGTTCGTGTCGGGAAAGACTGTCTGCAGCGTGACAGGGCTCTCCTTCGTGCCGTTCAGCTGGAAGCACTTCACGACGTTCATCTCCGTCTCGGTAGTCTCCGGCGTGATCTTATAGTTGGTACCGTACGGCTCCACCGACTCCAGCTGGTACGTTATCACCTGCCCTGCAGGGTAGGAAGGGGAAATAGAGCAGCGGAGGTCCTCAGCCCACCTGGGCTCCCTGCTGCTCTGCACCACAGGCCTGGTGGGGGGGAAGGCCGAGCCAGGCCTGGCCTGTGGCGTGACAATAGGAAATGTCCCTTGAGCCCTGCGCTTCCACGGAAGCTGGGTGTGTGTCGCCCTCTGTACGTGACGTCCCAATTGCTGCCGGCTGCGGCAAAGCCGCCGCGTCGCCCGAGGCCAGCGCAGAGCCTGCCAGGAGGGGACTCTGCCTCGTCCCACTCTGCATCCATCCATGGCTCTGAGCTCTGCGGTGGCAGCCCCCCGCCCCCTGGTGGGGCAAGTGGCTGAGTGTCTCCCGGGGCCGCCGGGCTCTCCACTCCCAGGTGAAGTCGTGGGGAGCGCAGCGCTATCAGGATCGGGCCCTCGGCCTGGTGCCAGGAAACTCATGGTGCATTGGCAGCAGTGCTTGGCCTTCGACTTTTCCTCCAAAGGCCGCAGCCCCTGAGCGAACCCAGTGAGCGCCGCGCGAGGTGGCACCGAAGACTTGGCGTGCGACGGGCGCTGCCTGACCCGCCCATGGGTGCCTCCTGCTCTACCGACCCACAGGAGACTCACTCTCATCATGCAACATCCTCCCTGCAAGCGTCTGGAGGGCAACTTACCATCATAGTACTGGATCCGGCTGCTATTTCCCGTCTTGTTGTACCAGGCTTCAAAGGGCTCCTCGATTTCAGCGTAGGGCAGGCTGATCACCCCTGCAGGACACCAATCCGTGTCATTTCACTTGGGGTTCGTCTAGATTACATGGCTCCGTCGACGGAGCCATGTAATCTAGACGAACCCCAAGTGAAATGACACGGATTGGTGTCCTGCAGGGGTGATCAGCCTGCCCTACGCTGAAATCGAGGAGCCCTTTGAAGCCTGGTACAACAAGACGGGAAATAGCAGCCGGATCCAGTACTATGATGGTAAGTTGCCCTCCAGACGCTTGCAGGGAGGATGTTGCATGATGAGAGTGAGTCTCCTGTGGGTCGGTAGAGCAGGAGGCACCCATGGGCGGGTCAGGCAGCGCCCGTCGCACGCCAAGTCTTCGGTGCCACCTCGCGCGGCGCTCACTGGGTTCGCTCAGGGGGCTGGCACTGGGCCTTGCACATGGGCGACATGCACATGACATAAGACTCCCCCCACGGGCGTTTCCTTGGGCGTCTCGTGGCTGCTCGGGCCGGGGCGGTTGTGAGCGCGTGCAGGGCCAGGCCCTGGCGCTGGGGGGATAATCGAAGGGCCAAGTCTTCGGTGCCACCTCGCGCGGCGCTCACTGGGTTCGCTCAGGGGGCTGGCACTGGGCCTTGCACATGGGCGACATGCACATGACATAAGACTCCCCCCACGGGCGTTTCCTTGGGCGTCTCGTGGCTGCTCGGGCCGGGGCGGTTGTGAGCGCGTGCAGGGCCAGGCCCTGGCGCTGGGGGGATAATCGAAGGAAGCACCTGGGCCACCCCCCCAGGAGAGCCCGGCCCCTGCCACAGAGCGGCCAGGGTGAGACCAGCCAGACAGGAAGCCTGCAGGGGAGGGCCGAGAGCCCAGGGCCTCAGTGTATTTAGCTTCCGCTTGTCCATTGGACGTTAGGAGTCAGTGCCTCCAAGGAGCCGGCTCCTGCTGCACTGGGTGCCAAGCTCTGGGTGTTAACAGAGCTGGGAGGGGAGGGAGTTACTGGCTCCAGCTTTCCCTTGGGATTTTTTTTTTCCGGGAAGGGCAGATCCCATCGGAGGCCTCACTTAACCTGAGCAGCAACTCGCCCTACGCAGCCTTGCACAACGCACCAGGCTCTCGCGTGGCTCTCGTGGGTGGGGCAGAGGCTGGGGTGCTGCTCGGTGCCAGTCCGTCCGGATGGCACCGAGCTTTGTGCCGGGGAGACAGGCAGAGCAGGCACTGGAGAACCCCCACCTAGGGCCCATCCCAGCTCCTGGCTCAGGGGAGGGGACATCAGTCTGGTTTGTTCAGCTGTCCGTGCAGGGCTGGGTTTTGCATTTGCCCCACGCCCAGCTCTCCCACTCACTTTGGAACCTGGATGTAGCTCGGTAGCTCTTATACACACGTGTGCATGTGTGCACACGCATGTGCACACACGCACACGCATGCACATGCACACACACACGTGCTGCCCATCCGGCCCGGGGGGAACATTACCTTTGACATGGTAGATATCTCCAAATTCAGGGGTTTTGCTTAAATGCTTGCAGCCTTTTCCTGAAAGAAAAGAAACACAGAGTTACCGCCCTGTCGCTGGCCTGCTCTCGTAGCCAAGACGTTCTGCCTGTTGGTAGGAGGACTCCCGTTACCCCCGGGGGCCAGGTTCAGACCCTGGGCAGGGCCGTGTGATGCGCTGGACTTCAGGGGCGTCGCACGCGCAGACCACAGCTCCCGGCTTTCTGGGCGTGCACCGAGCTCTCGCTCCCCCGGAGGGTGACGAGCCAACAGACCCTGGGCGCTGTCCTGGAACGGGGGGAGCATCCTTAATCCAGGCCCTGGGCTGCACGAGTGAGGAACGTCACGGAGCTGGCTGGGCTGCCCGCACGCCACGGGTCTCAGGGCTCGGTCTCCTCAAGCCTGGGGCCAGAGGGCGGGAGGGGATGGCCCCAGCACGCTGCCCCTGGTGCTTGCCCCCTGCAGCCGTGTCGAGCCTGGGCACCTCGCCCGGGACCACAGCCAGGAGGCACCAGCAGCTGGCAGGGCCCATGTCCTCGTGGGAGGCACCGCCAGTCACGTGGAGTCCAGGGGAGAAGGGGCGACAAGGGGCAGCAACGCTAACCCCTGCCATGGGTTGGCTGGGTCTAAACCATCCAGGGAAGGTGCTTCCACGGCCTCCCTGTGTCCCGCCCACTGTGGCAAGAGAGGACCGCTGCTCCCCCCCGACATCTCCTCGTGGACCGTTGAAACGTGGCCCGTGTGCCCACCCGGCTGCATCCCACCCCTTTGCTGCTCGCCTGCAGAGCCCGGCCTGTTTCGCTGCACGCTGCATGGCTGGGACAAGGCAGCTTTGGCCGAGATTTCCGAAGGGGGGGGCCTGATGCCAGGCACCTCAAGCTACCCTTGGGCAGCTATGTAAAGGGCCTGGGTCTCAGAAGGGGACGTTCCCACTGGGCGGCACTGTGCTGCATGTGGGGGAGGGCGGGGAAAGTGGTCCCGTGGCTTACGCCGTGGCGCTGGGCTTGCATGGGTGTGGCAGCGCGCAGGCTCCGATCGTCACCGACACATCACAGGCTTCCCTGGGGAAGTGGGTGTGCAGGCAGCTTCTCTGCTCCCCCAGAAGCCAGCTGGGGCTTAGTCATCGGCTGCAGGTGAAGCCAGCACACCCTGGCTTTTCCCTGTGTCAGCATCTTTCTTCTGGGGGGACAGTTCTTTAACTCCAGCAGCTCCCCTGTGCAGGGCAGGTCGTGGCCCCCCACAGCAGGCTGGAGCCACTGGGAAAGGCAGCTGGCACGTGGCAGAGGGAGACGGTGGCCTATGGCCCTACGTGCGTCTCAGGTAAGAGCAGGGCCTAAGGGCTAGCACGACCTGCAGGGCCCATGCCGCTGCTAGAGACTGCAAAGCCCAAACAAGGGGACTGCGTTTCCCACAATGCCCCTCTCTGGCAGTGACACTGAGTGGGGGGAGCAGGTGGCTCTGGGCCAGTTCTGGACAAAGGACATGGCCGGGGTCAGATCTCTGCACCCCTGAACGATCTCCTGCCCCTCAGCCAGGGAGCGTGGTAGAAATGTCACTGCGGCCAGTTCCAGGCTGCAGCCTCAGCATCAGGGCATGTGCCTCCGGGAAGGGGACAGCAGCCCGTGCCCAGAGAGAGCCTGGTTATAAAAGCAAGAATCCTGCATTCTCCCTGGAGCCCCGGGGAAGTTCCTGCAGTCCCAGCTCCCATGCCTAGATCTGCCCCATCTGCCCCTACCCAGCCGCCCCCGCCTGCAGGGTTCCCCCAGCTCCAGCGCTGCTGCACGGGATAGATAAGGCTGAGGACTATAGTGGCTGCTTCCCCAGTCTGTCACTTGCAGGAGCCCGGAGCCCCGTGTGAGACCCACCCACTCCAGCATGGCCAGCCACATTTCACTGTCAGAGCCAAGCGTCCCAGAGGCTAATTGCACTGCACCAGCCGGGTGGGAGTCTCCCAGCACTTCTCAGACCCTTGTCAGCGTGGCTGGTCAGTCTCATTCTCTCCTTCAGACAAAGGAAACCGAGAACCACAAAGGGGAAGTGACTTGCCCAGGGTCACACAGGAAGCCTGTGTCGGAGCAAGGGCTAGAATCCAGTCTCGGTCCTACGCGCTAACCACGCCCCATCCTTCCTCCCAGGCAGGCGGAAGAGAGGTACCGAGGTAGGGGTAGCCCTGTTCCTGTCACCAGCCAGCCAGGTGTCCCTGCTCCCACGGGCCAGGCGCAAACGTTCCCCCTGTAATGCTGCTGCCCCACCCCCCACCCCCGAGAGACTCACCTGCAACCCAGCTGCACAGCGCGACCAGCACAGCCCCCTGGAGCACCCCCATCCTGGCAGCTCCCTGCTCTGCCTGCCCTGGGCTGCAGCCGTCCTAGCAGCAGCTCCGAGCACCACCTTTAAACCGGGCTAGCAAGAGCAGGAACTCAGGGAGCCAATGGCCACAGCCAGGCCCTGCCCAGAGGAGGGGAAGGAGCCCGAGCGTGTCTTTGCAAACTGCTCATTTGCTGCGGCCCGGAGCTGGGAAGGGAGGCTCCGGCGAAAGAGGGCGGCGTGGGGAGGGGAAATGAAAGGGAGAGAGCAAAGCCTGGGGCAGGCGGGGAGAAGAGGAAGGCAGGCCGGGCTGGGCTGGGCTGGGCTGGGCCGGGCACGTGCTTCCTGCCGCCGCCAGCTCCACGCATGCCCTCCCGCACACGCCGGGCAGGGGTGGGGCCCCG